AAGGCTGGGGATTGGCACGGGGACTGTGCACTCAAAGTGTTCAGCACATGCAGCATGGCTGAATCCAGTTACATCCTATTAATTTATTTAGTCAGGGGTCTCACTCTGTCACCCAGATTGGAGTGCAGTAGCACAATCACAGCTCCCCACAGCCTCAACCTCCCGGACTCAGGCAGTCATTCCACCTCAGCCTCCTAAGTAGCTGTACGTGCCAATATGCCTGGCCTATTTTTGGTTTTTGTAGAGATGAGATCTTGTTGTGTTGCCCAGGCTCATCTTGAACTACTTGTCTCATGCAGTCCTCCTACTTCAGCCCCCCAAAATGTTGGTGTTACAGGCACAAGCCATTATGCCTGGCCTGGTTGTGTCCATATTAAAAAATAGTATATACAAGAAATTTTAAAATCCAATCCAAAGAGTTTTATTTTAAAGATGTGGGGTACACTTCAGCATTAGGTATACAAGTGGTTATTGTACAGGTAATGTTTGAGCCTCCCTTTGTTCCCCACTTCACCTGGTTTGAGATCAGGAACACTTGTTGATGTTGTCTCTCCCCTCCCTTCCCGGACAGTATTCTGCTACTGCCAATCCCCAAAAGTTGTTTTAAAATGTGAAATTATAGCATCCATGATGGAAGTTGTATGAAAATGAAAGGTATTAATTATGAGACAAATAGCGAGCATTCATGCACCCACCATCCAGACCAAGAAACAGAAGAGGTTTTTCTAAGAGCTTTCTATGTCCCTTTCCTCTTCCTACTCTTTGTTTTATCCAAGAGAACACATTTTTCATAGACTTGGTATTTATCATTTACTTGTTTTTCTTCATAGGTTTGAGTACCTTTTATATATGACCAAATATTTTAGTCTCTACTTCTATTTTGAACTCTTTATGGATAGTATCATTGTGTACAGTCCTGTCTTGCTTCTTCTTAGTGAAATATGTTGTCTTTTTATTTGATTTTATTTTGAAACAGAATCTCACTCTGTCTCCCAGACTGAAGTGCAGTGGCATAATCATAGTTCATTGTAACCTCGAACTACTGGGTTGAAGCTATCCTCCTGCCTCAATCTCCCAAAGCACCAGGATTACAGGTGCGAGCACCCACACTGGGTCTGTTGCAATGTTTTTAATGGTTGTACAATATCTATGTTGTCAGGCCATAACATATACATGTCACTAATATCCATCATCAATCCCTAGGCTTACTTATCTCTAGCAAGTTTGGCTGTTTGACTTTTTACAACTAGCAGATTCCTCAGAAACAGCTCATGGGAACAATTTCCTAAATTCTTGCATATTGCCCACAAATTGTAGCCCTATGCGTGAATGTAATTTTGCTTGGAAAGAAAACATTTTTATACTTTTCCTTCCCTAAGTGTCAAACATGTTACTTTATTTAGAGACGAGGTTTTACTGTATTGCATAGGTCAGTCTCAAACTCTGGCTCAAGCAATCTTCCCACCTTGGCCCAAAGTGCTAGGATTACTTGTGTGAGCCACCACACCAAGCCTCAAGTACTTTTCATACTTTTTTTTTTTTTAGTTGGAGGGTTTTACTCTGTTGCCCAGGCTGGAGTGCAGTGGCACAATCACGACTCATTGCAGCCTTGACCTCCTGGGCTCAGGTAATCTTCCCACCTCAGCCTCCCAAGTAGCTGGGACTACCAGTTCATGCCACCACACCCAGCTATTTTTTTGACTTTTTGGAGACAAGGGTCGTTATGTTGCCCAGACTGGTCTTGAACTCCTGAGCTCAAGCAGTCCTTCCATTTTGGCCTTCCTAAATGCTGGGATTACAGGCTTAAGCCACCACACCCAGTCTTCTTTTCATACTTTGTAGTGCAACCACTTTCTATTTTTATGGGGTTCATCTAAAGCAGGTTGTGGGAGATAATTAAGGCCTAATGCCCTAAGGCATCTATTGTACGTAAGAACTTCTGAATCTGGAATGTACTATCCTAGGGAGAATTGAGAAAAGAGCCATTCAGTTTTCTGAGAGATGATTTTACCTAATCCCAGTTGAGAAAAACGACTCTAAAAATTAGAGTATACATCTTTAACATCTTGTTTCCCTTTAATTATTTTACCAACTCAAAAAGTGAGAACCTTGTAACAATATACTTAACTTACTCATTCTTGATTCTATTTTTGTCATATTTTACTTCTCCTTGATTTTTATTTTTAGAAGGTCTCACTCTGTCATCCAGGCTGGAGTGCAGTGGTGTGATCATGGCTCACTGCAGCTTTGAACTTCTGGGCTCAAGCGATCTGGCTAGTTTTTAAAAAATATTTATAGAGTTGGAGTCTTGCTATGCTTCCCAGGTTGGTCTAGAACCCCTGGCCCCAAGTGATCTTCCCGTCTTCGCCTTCCAAAGCAGTGGGATTACTGGCAGGAACCACTGCACCCACCCAAATTTTTTTCATGTAATACCAGGTTTGCATTTCTGAGTACCTTTCAGTTGGACATGGTGGGGATTTCCTTAAAAACAAAAACAAAAAAACCTAATTGTCTTCTATTTGCTAATATTTTATGAATTACTTTGGAAGGTTTTTGCACTTTATTCTGTCTTTGTCTAGTTTGAATATCCTTGTTATGTTGCCCTCATACATTGCCAGGATGTATTGTTCTTCTGAATTCTTAAACTGTTTCCGTATTGCTTCTTTATTTTCTAGTCGGTAGAATTCACTGATACAGTCATCTGTAGCACCCTCTCAAATGTGTCATGTCGTTATAGTACCTCCAAAAGGCATACCCAACACTGTGTTGCTTCTTTGTGGTAGGTGGCACCAGCTGCAGCATCTTTCTTTTCACCTTGGAGGCAATATCTTGACATACTCCAGAAAATTGAACCCCCAGAAGTTTCACAAAAGTGGGAAGCCTGAATGTTTGGATCTCTTTCCCATCCTCTTATTCACATATGCCTTGCCAAAGTACTCAAAGTAGTTGCTACCTCTTTCTCATCAGGGCCAATCAGCATAAAGTCATCAATATAGAAGCCACATTGTGGGATTTTTGTTAGGCTAATCAATACTTGGTCGATGCAGGGAGCAGCATAACTGACAAAGCACTGAGAAAAAATCAGTTTCTTCTGGTTGTCCTTACAAGTTGCTATGGAAAAAATGGCATTAGCTAGGTCAATAGCTCACATTTATATGAAGTTAGTTAATGAACATTCATTAGGGAAAAGAATGGGTTGTACTACATAGAAGGAGAGTTTACCAGAAACCTATAAAATGAATAAACTTATAAGCACTCAATTATAGTGCCTCAAAATAAAACAAGAGAGATAGAAGTTTAAAAAACAATTTGACAACCCACAGTTAGCAAGTGGCATTTTAAAAAGACCTCTCACAATAAATAATAGGAGATAAAGTTTGTAAGTGTACAAATTTTGAAAACAATAAGATTTATCCAATGGAATACACAAAATCCTGTCATACCCAGTAATTAGAAAACACAAGGTTTCGACCATACTTGATTTATAAAATATAACCAGTTGAGACTGACATCAGCTGTTGAAATAGAAACTTCACACAAGAGTGGTTTAAACTAGTTAAGAGTTTATCTTTCTCATGTAATAAGCTGTCTAGGATTGGTGCAGCCAGATAACACTGGGTTTCCAGTGTATCAGTAGTATCCTCTTCCATCCTCTTGCTCTATTTTCTAGTAAAGAACAGTGAATGAGACAAAGGACAAATAGTGAAGGGAAAATGCCAGATGAGATGTTCCCATTCCCATGGCAGCTACATCTGATAACCTCTGCCTACTTCACATTGCCTAGGACTGTGGACACATTTAGCCACTCAAATTAGCCACTCACAGCTACAAAAAAAGCTAAGAGATGAGTCCTTACAAAACTGTCTACCTGAACTGCAAGTTTTGTTACTTTAAGGAAGAAGAAGAGAGGGATGGATATTGAGACAGCAGCTAGTTCCACCAGCTACGGTATACCAAACAGCAAGTCTCCAAAAATTCTGTTTGAATCTAAGTCAAATAGAATGTATACCACAAGAGCATGCATTCTAACTAAAATATGTATAGGATCCTCATATTAATAACATACTTCTAAATAACCTACAGGTCCAAGACAGCTTGATGAGAATCAGATATTATATTAAATTATAATACTACATATCAAAACTTTTGATATAAAATCAAGCAGAATTTAGTGATATATAACTACTTACAAATTAATATGTTGTGGGTTTTTTTTTGTTTTTGTTTTTTTTTTTTTTGAGTTGGAGTCTCACTCTATCGCCCAGACTGGAGTGCAGTGGCCGCTCCCGGCCACTGTAGCCTTGACCTGCTGGGCTCAGGCGATCCTTCTGCCTCAGCCTTCCAAGTAGCCGGAATTACAGGCATGCGCTACCACGCCCGGCTGATTTTTTGATTTATTGTAGAGATGAGGTCTCGCTGCCCAGGCGGGTCTCGAACCCGCGGGCTCAGACAATCCACTCACCTCAGCCTCCCAAAGGCATGGGATTACAGGCTGAGCCACCGAGCCCGGCTTGTTGTGGCACTTCTAAGGATGAAACCCTCATTGATAAAAACAATAATAAAACTGTAATATTTATAAGGTTTGTCCCAGTATAACATAAATCAAGAGTTGTGCCTGAAAGTTTTTTCTTATCAGTCACTACAGGGTTTCTCTAGTGTGAGGTCTAAAATGAAGAATGGCAACTGGGAGTGGTGGCTCACGTCTGTAATTCCAGCACTTTGGGAATTGGAGGCGAGAGGACTGCCTGAGCCCATGGGTTCAAGATCAGCCCAGGCAACTTGGTGAGACTTCAACTCTACAGTAAATCAAAACATCAGTTGGGCTGACGGCACATGCCTGTAGTTCCAGCTACTTGGAAGGCTGAGCAGAAGGCTTGCCTGAGCACAGCAGGTTGAGGCTATGGTGGCCATGATTATGCTACTGCGCCCCAGCCTGGGTGACAGTGACTCCAAAAAACAACCCCCCTCAAAAAAACTAAATAAAATAAAATGAATAATGTGGCATGAAGGATAACATACATTATCACAAAGTAATTTTATTCAAAGAGTTTCTGCTCAGTATGTATTCGCTTGTGCATTATGAGGTTAGTGCTTGTGCTGAAGGCTTTTTCACACTGAATACATTTATAAGGCTTCTCCCCAGTGTGAGTTCTTACATGTACTCTCAAGCAAGAGGAATTCCTAAATGTCTTCCCACATTCTTTACACTCATAGGTTTTCTCTCCAGTGTGAGTTCTCTTATGCACAATAAGATAAGAACCTGTACTGAAGGACTTTCCACATTGATTACACTCATAAGGTTTCTCTCCAGTATGGGACCGTGTGTGTTTCTTAAGTGATGATTGATCAATGAAGGCTTTTCCACAGTTACTGCATTCATAGGGTTTCTCTCCAGTGTGGGTTCTGACATGTTTCTGAAGGGACGAAGGAACAGTGAATGCCTTCCCACATTCCTTACAGTCAAAGGGTTTCTCTCCAGTGTGAGTTCTTTTGTGCACATTAAGATGAGAGCTCTGGCTGAAGGATTTTCCACAATGATTGCACTCATAAGGTTTCTCTCCAGTATGAGATCGCATGTGTTTCTTAAGAGAAGACTGAAAAATAAAGGCTTTCCCACAGTTACTGCATTCATAGGGTTTCTCTCCAGTTTGAGTTCTGACACATTTCTGAAGGAATAAAGAGTCAGTGAAAGCTTTCCCCTGTTCACTACATTCCAAATTCTCGTTCACAGTATATCCTTTTTTCTGGTCTTTAAGGGGAGACTTTTTTCTATAGTCACTGCATTCACTGAGTTTCTCTTGAGTAGGTATGTGCTCATGTGTTGAGGAGGAAGAGTGTAGGATGAAGGACATACTACATTGATCACACCTATGAGACTTATCTCCTGTGAATGTTCTTAAATATTTTCTGAGGGAGAGCTCTGTATTGAAAGCTTTTCCACAATCATTAAGTTCAGGAGTTTTCTCTCCAGTGTGAATATTCATGTGCGTTCTAAGAGTTGAGGGGAGGCTGAAGAATTTGCCACATCCTGCATATTTATAGGATTTCTCTCCCTTGCAATATCTTGTACAAATAAGATGAGAGTTCTTTTTGAATTTCCCGCAATGGTTACATTCCAAGAGTTTCTCACCAGGTTGAGTTTGTGCCTGCTGAAAAGGGAGTAAGTGGTAACTAAAGGTTTTCTCATTCTTATCAGGTTCACAGAAATTCTCCATGTGGATTCTGCTATGTATAGGAAGCACATGATCATGACCAACATGTATCATTTTTATTAAGTGTGTGTGATTTTTACTCTTAGTTTTTTCAAGTTGAATTAGCTCAGTGCTTTACTTAAGGCTCTAATGTGTTCATTCTGAAGAAAGGGCTTCTTATATACAGAGTTTTTCAAATCAGTGAAGAATGAATTAATTATGTATTAAATACTTAACATTGGAGTCATATTTAAATAAATGTTTGCTCGTGGTTATTCTCTGTGAGGCAGCAAACATTAAGTTAGATTTAAAGAATTCTCTAATTTCATGAGCATTGTAAACTATCTCCTGAGATAACTTCCTGGTGAAAGCTTGGCGTCTCAACTCTCACCTTTGCTTTGGGGTCTTAATGTTTTACCTCATTGAAATTATCAGACTTATCCTACTGTAAAGAACCAGGAATCATTCCTAGTAGGTCTTACCATTTTTATGCCATTGGATGTTTTCTCTCCGGAAACATTCTGCATAGCAGCGGTATCTTTTCTTTTAAGTTGAGTTTCCCAGTCTGAAATAGCACAGGAAAAAATTATATAATTATGAGGAGAAAAGGTTGGGATGAAATAAAAAGGAAGGCAGATCCTATAAACATGTTTTCAAATAATAAAACTCAATAGAGGACAAAAATGTGAAAGAAAAGATGCAACCAATGACCCAAAACATTATTTTAGGAGTCTGGCTCTGGGAGGAGATACCAATGATAAGAACAAGCAATAAAAATGGGAAGTATTTTAGGATTCTGGATGTTTGAGAAAATCAGATAGTATTATCTGAAAAACAAAACAGGGAGTACTGAACAAAAAGCCCTCATGGAAATGTTAAAGTTAAAAGGGAATGAAAACTCTTCTTTCTTTGAGACCAAATATGGTGAAAGTGGAAGGGAAGTTTATGTAATGGCCTCAGCCTCCTTTTCCTGCACTGACTGACATTCCCTAATGTACCAATCCCTGCTGGCTAAAACTCTTCCACATAATGATTTCTTTCTGCCCAGGACTCACCTCCACAGGTACCCTGGAGAATTCCTCTTTCCTCTGTCTTCAGCTCTTCCTGGTCTACCCTACAGATCAGACTGTGTTTGCAGAGCTGATAACCTGCTCATAAGGAAAGACCCTTAATGTGGGAGGACCATGTAGGAATAAAGAATACATTCCCCCAAACCGATTCCCATTCTTTGGTCTCAAACTATTCTTAAAATAGTGAAGTGCAACTTGAGGAACAGCAAAACAATCAGAGCAGAGCTCTTTCATGAGGAACAAAAAGCATATGCTACATGCCCTATATGGAACTGATCCTTGAGACCCATGCCCAAGGTCAGATACAGACTGCAAATTACCTAAAGCTTTTAATGACAGAAGAAATGAAATCAGTGCATGTTCTTGGGAAGCCACTAGGCTGCCCCACAAGGGCAGGAACCCATTCATTTTGTATTTACCACTGTATTGCCACTCTTTTCACAGATCCTAGAACACAATATGTGCTCCAGAACTATTTGCTGCATGAACAAATGAATAGAAAGCATGAGGTCAGCCTTACCCACTGAGGCCAGGTTCCTGAAGTTATCCAGCATCACATCTCTGTATAGAGTTTTCTGAGCAGGGTCCAGCAATGCCCACTCCTCCTGGGAAAAGTCCACTGCTACTTCCTGGAAGGTCACTGAGTTCTAAAACATCACATACATAATTTTGGCTCAGCCAATTACCATCTTCAACAATATACCAGAATGGTGTGTGAGCCAGAGAGGACTGGGAAGGAGACCCAAGGCATTAGAAACTCAGACATACACCTGAGACCTTCTATTATTTGCCCTAAAGCTCAGTTATCGGAACTCTCCTCTTTCTTTTATTTATTTATTTATTTTTGAGTTGGAATCTCACTCTGTTGCCCAGGCTGGAGTGCAGGGGCACACTCATGGCCACCCCAGCATCAACCTGCTGGGTTCCAGTGATCCTTCCACCTCAGTCTTCCAAGTAGCTGGAACTACAGGCATGCACTACTACACCTGGCTAATTTTTGATTTATTGTAGAGACAGGGTCTCGCCAAGTTGCCCAGGCTGGTCTCGAACCCACAGGTTCAGGCAATTCACTCACCTCGGCCTCCCAAAGTGCTAGAATTACAGGCTGAGCCACCGAGCCCAGCCACTCTACTCTTTCCATCCTACCCACTGGGCCATCTCATTCACATCATGGCTTTAACAGCATTTCTGAGGTATGGTTGGTTTTTGTACAATTAGGTTGTGAGAACTCTTTCAGTCTTATTCAGATCTAGTATATTAATAGATAGGAATACCACAGAGGATATAAGGAATATCTGGGAAATTAGTGAATAGTATTCCTAGTAAAAATCTTCACAGCACCCAGCAGAGTATGGAATTCATACTCAACCTGGATGAATATATGAAAATATCAATAAATGTGGTAACAGAAGCCTTTCCTAGGCATTCTTTCTTCTGCCCTAAGAAGCTTAAAGAACTAGAAAAGATCAGCTCAGGTTGGGCTGCAGTGCTGTAGGTCATGGGCAAGAGATTTGTTATTTTGGGGAATGGCAATGTTTTTGTTTTGGAAATAGAATAATTTACTACCCACTTGTGACCAGGTCGTCAGCAGTCCTGCAGCCATTCTTCCTCCTGTGTTTCCTTCTTGGCTGAGCAGAGTTCTGAGCAGGCAGAGCTAGAGAAGAAGAAAAAAGCCATAAGAGTCTAGACCTGCTAGATATTTACAACACTTGCAGGCTTGGAAGCTACCTCAAGCTAACTTAAGAGTAATAACATACAAAATGTAATAGTTCATATTTGTCTTCCTACCAAAGAACATAGCATATCCTTAAATTAGGAATATATTATACACTTATTTTTTCTTGTTAAATTTTTCCTAGCCTGAACCACTGAAAAGGCTTACGATTGGTAACAGATCAGAAGCAATGGACTTCTATAATGCAAAACTGTCTCTAAATGCCCCTGACCAATAACAAAAATCAGGACTCACAGACTAATACAGAACAAGAAATCTTCAAGATGAGTCTGGAATATCTTATCCCACATCTTCACTTTCCTCATTTTGAAAATGGGACAGACAACATGAAGATTTGACTGTTAAATAAGTTAATGTAGCCGGGCTCAGTGGCTCAGCCTGTAATCCCCCGCCTTTAGGAGGCTGAGGCGAGTGAATTGCCTGAACCCGCGGGTTCGAGACCCGCCTGGGCAGGCGAGACCTCATCTCTACAATAAAGCAAAAAATTAGCCGGGCGTGGTGGTGCGCGCCTGTGGTTCCAGCTACTTGGAAGGCTGAGGTGGAAGGATCACCGGAGCCCAGCAGGTCGAGGCTGTGGTGGCCAGGAGTGGCCACTGCACTCCAGTCTGGGTGACAGAGTGAGACTCCAACTCCAAAAAAAAAAAAAAAGTTAATGTATGTAAATTACTTGGATAATAACTGACAACTCCTAAGGATTTAATAAGTATTAGCTATTTATAAATCTATGTATATTATTTTAATTTGCCAGTATTTCCCTAAAGTGCATATTTTCATTTCATAATTAAAGTATTACATTCCAGAACAACATTTACATGTATACATGTCATCAAAATTTAATGTTGCAAATCCCACAGCAGAGCTTGGACTTGAACTCATGTTTCTTAAAAAAAGGAAAGAAAGAAATCACATTCTTTAACTTGGTAGCCCACCTTTGAGGAAGTTCTTTCGGTCTTTAACTCGGTAGCCCACCTTTGAGGAAGTTCTTTAGCTTAAAGGAAAGGATATTTATTAGTAACACAAAAACATATGAACATATACAACCCACTGATAAAGGTAATTATGTAAATATATACTCAAATTCAGATTATTCTAATACAGTAAGGCCCCTACATATGTATGAGTTCTGTTCTAAGAGTGCACTCATAAGTCCAATTTGTTTGGAAGTCCAACAAAATTAGCCTAAGTACCCAACTAACACAATTGGCTATAGTACTGTATTGTTATAGGTTTATAATACTTTTCACACAAGTAATACATAAAAAACAGTATTGTGAAGTACACAAAAGCACAACTACTTGTAGAGGATGCATGCATATGACAATGTATGCCAGACATGTGAACTAACTTATGTGACTGGACATGCAAACGCATATTTGCATCTTTGAAAGTTGCAAAATGAAAGTTCATATATAGGGGACTTACTATAAAGGTGATACATAAATCACTTATAACTCTAGTATAAAGGTTAGAAGATAAAAATGTTTAGAATATACTATTTAAAAATATTACAGTTACAATAATTTGTTAATAGATACACAGTATTAAAAAATGACTACTCCTATTTAATATATTACTAGTAGTCCTAGGGAGAACAATCAGGCAAGAAAAAGAAATTACAGGTATCCAAGTAGGAAAAGAGGGAGTTAAGTTATCTCTTTACGGATATGATCCTACACCTAGAAAACCTATAGATTCCACCAAAAAGCTTCTAGCACTGATAAACGACTTCAGTAGTATTGGGATACAAAATCGGTGCACAAAAATCATTTCTATACACCAACAACAAGCAGGCTGAGCACCAAATCAAAAACACAATCCCATTCACAACAGCTACAAGACAATAAAATACCTCAATAATCATCTGACCAAAGAGGTATAAGATCTTTACAATGAGAATTACAAAATGCTGCTCAAAGACACCAAAGATGATATAAATGAAAGAACATTCTATACGCATGGACTGGAAGAATCAATATTGTTAAGATGTCCATACTTCCTAAAGCAGTCTATAGATTCAACACAATCCCTTATCAAGCTACTAGCAACATTTTTCACAGACCTAGAAAAGGCAACACTTAAATTTATATGGAAGCAAAAAAGAGCCTGAATAGCCAAAGTAATCCTCAGCAAAAAAACCAAGCACACTCCCAGACTTCAAATTTTACTACAAGGCTACAGTAACCAAAACAGCATGGTAAGGGTACAAAAATAGTCACAAAGAGCATTAGAACAGGATAGAGAACCCAGAAATAAAACAACAAATATATAACCAACTCATCTTTGACAAAGCTGATAAAAAGAAACACTGGGGAAAAGATACCCTATTCAGCAAATGCTGCAGGAAAAACTGGCTATCTGCATGCAGAAGAATGAAACTGGACCCCTAATCTATCACCATATACAAAAATTAAAATGGTTCCAAAACTTAAATGTAAAACCTCAAACTATAAAAATCTTAGAAGAAAACCTAGGGAATACCATTCCTGGACATTGGCCTAGGCAATGAATTCATGGCCAAGTCCCCAAAACCTTTAGCACAGCAAAAGAAACCATGAAGAGAGTAGAAAGGGCTAGGTGTGGTGGCTCAGCTTGGGAAGCTGAGGTGAGAGAATTGCCTGAACCTGGGGGGTTCGACACCAGCCTCGTCTCTACAATAAATCACAAAAACTAGCTGGGCATGGTGGCAAGTATCTGTAGTTCCAGCTACTTGGAAGGGTAAGGCAGAAAGATCACCTAAGCCCAGCAGGTTGAGACTGCGGTGGCCATGAGTGTGCCACTGCACTCCAGCCTGGGCGATAAGAGTGAGAATCCAACTCAAAAAAAAAAAAAAAAAAGAGAGTAGAGAGAAGTGAGATCTAAAAATCGACCTTCCATGCAACCTCGCAATCTCTTTACTGGGAGTATACCCAGAGAAACTCAAATCACTCTATGAAAAAGATACCTGCACATGCATGTTTATTGCAGCATTATTCACAATAGCAAAAACATGGAACCAACTGCGCTGCCCATTGAAAGAGAACTGAATTTTTAAAATGCGGTACATATACAAGATGGAATATTACGCAGCCATAAAGAAGGACAAAAGTGATGAACTTCGTGGGAACTGAGTGATCTATCACAGAAAAAAACTGAATACCACATGTTCTCATTCAGAAGCAGACTTTGAACAATTATAATATTATAAGAAAGGGATTGGCAGTAGTGGGAAACTGCCGGGGTGGGGGAGACACCTCATCAATGAGGGTACCTGCATAATGAACATTTGTATACTTAACCCTGAATTGTACCCCACATCTTTAAAATGAAAAATTTTAAAAGCAAAAAAAGAATAGAGAGGGGCCTGGTGCAGTGGCTCACTCCCATATTTGCAGCATTTTGAGAGGCCACAGCAGGAGGACTGCTTGAGCCCAGGAGTTTGAGACCAGTCTAGGCAAGTTAGCAAAAGCTTATCTTTACTGCAAGAAAGAAAGAAATTAGCTGGTATGGTGGCATGCATCTGTAGTTCCAGCTACTCAGGAGACTATGGTAATAGGATCACTTGAGCCCGGGAGTTCAAGGCTGCAGTGAGCCATGACTGTGCCAATGCACTCCAGCCTGGGCAATAGAGACCCCAACTCAAAAAAAAAAAAAAAAAAAAGTAAAGAGACAACCTGCAGAATGAGAGAAAATATTTGAAAACTATGCATCTGACAAAGGCCTAATACCCAGAATTTGTAACAAAAACAAATTGACAGGGAAAAAACCAAATAACCTCATTAAAAAGTAGGCAAAGGACATGAACAGATATTTCTCAAAGGAAGACATACAAGCAGCCAACACATGTATGAAAAAATGCTCAGCATCACTAACTATCAGAAATGCAAATCAAAACTACAAGATACCATCTCACACTGGTCAGGATGGCTATCATTAAAAAGTCAAAAAACAACAGATGTTGGTGAGGCTGAGGAAAAAAGGGAATGCTCGTACACTGTTGATGGGAATGTAAGCTAGTTTAACTCCTGTGGAAAGCAGTTTGGCGATTTCTCAAAGAACCAAAAATAGTTACCATTCAACCCAGTCATCCCACTTCTGGGAATATACCCAAAGGAGTATACTTTGTTCTACCAAAAAGATACTCACACTTGTATGTTTATTGCAGCACTATTCACAATAGCAACAACATGGAACCAACCCAGATGACAGTGGACTGGATAAAGAAAACGTGATATATATATATATATGCCATAAAATACTATATAGGCATAAAAAAGAACAAAATCATGACATTTGCAAAATACAGATGTAGCTGGAGACCATCCTTTTAAGTAAATTATCATAGAAACAAAAAACTGAATATTACATGTTGTCACTCATAAGTGAGTACTAAACACACAGGCACAAGGATGGAAACAACAGACACTGGGCAGTACTAAAGGAGAGGGGGAGAAAGAAAAGTGGGTAAATACAGGATATAAAATCGCCCATTGGGTACCATGCTCACACTGGTGGCAGGGGGGCAGACTCAGAAGCCCAAACCTTACCTTCACACAATATATTTATGTAACAAGTCTTCACATGCATCCCATGATTCTAAGATTTTTTTAAATGTGGAGAAAATAAGAGAATAAATTGTATGCAGTAGAAATTAAGCTGTTATGAGCTTAAAATAGACTATTAAAACTATACGATAGCTGGGCTCGGTGGCTCAGCCTGTAATCCCAGCACTTTGGGAGGCCGAGACGAGTGGACTGTCTGAGCCTGTGGGTTGGAGACCCGCCTGGGCAACTTGACGAGACCTCATCTCTACAATAAATCAAAATATCAGCCGGGTGTGGTAGCACGCGCCTGTA